GTGATCAGTGACATGGTGGAATTTCATAAATGAGGCTCAAGAAGGAGAAGGCCAGCCATGTCAGATTGTTTGGGGTTGGAGGCAATAGCATTATCAGATTTATTTTAAACAAATAAAAAAACAAAAGAACATTTACAAGAACCTCATTTACAGGAACCCCAACATGTAACCTTGCATTTCCCATCTTTCTCTTTCCCACACACATACCCCAGGACATTGATTTGAAGCAAATGCAAATGACATCAGCCCAAGATTAATAGTATTGACATTCAAAATGTGCAGGTTCACACATGCTTATGACAGAAAACAGATTGGAGAGAGAGAGAGAGAGAGAGAGAGAGAGAGAGAGAGAGAGAGAGTGAAGGAAAGGTGAAGAAAACAGACATTAAAAAAAAAATTAAGCAATGCTGTAGCTGCTATCCAAAAAATGTGTAGAGAGGGAGCTTGAGGCTTCAAGGGAGTGTAACAAAGTTTTTCTAACCTGCTCCAGGCTGCTTCATAAACCCTCATACTACAGCATGTCAGCGTTCATTACGTTCATGTGATCGTAGATAACATCTTTGCACTCATTCACTCCATTAGAGCCATTAGATATATTATTCGATATATATTAAAGGCCAATAATGACACAATTCATAAATACAGAATAAACACAAAAGTTTTAAAGTGCATACACATATACCAGGATGCACTGTATATAAAAGTAAACCTGATTAGGCAACATTAATATTTTGATGCATTTGTGTGATTTGGCAACACCAGTGTGGTAACGAGTTGAAGAGAATGCCATGTTTATAATTTACTTCTGAACTGTCATCAGTGCCGCATTAAACCTTAGCAGGGCCAGGGGCTCATGCATCGCTTGGGGCCCCAGTTATATGCTGGTTATATTCCATCAACTGGTCAATCATATGCGCAATCAAAGAACTGTAAAGACTAAAAGCATGTCATACTCGGCACACAACAAATAAGCCAAAATGCTCAAACAAGGAGTGCATAGTGAACACTTTTTAAATGTGTTGATCAAAAAAAAAAACCAGAAATACTGAGCGCATATCATCAACCCATATAAGCTAAAAATAATCCACATAAATTAAACAACGGTATCGAGTGATCATTTTACAAATCAGAAACATCCCAGCAAATAAAATGAATTCCGTTTCATTCAGCACTAAAAGGACTTCTTCCTGCTCTTCATCAAAGAGAATTCCTCGATTAAATCCTTAAAGTCAAGTTGACGCAGAATGTTGTACTCACTTGATATCGCTGTCAATCAGTTCAGCCTTTGTTCATGCAATGATGTCCTTACTCCATTTTTTTTTTAGAAGCCCCAATTTTGAACCACCTGATTCAGAAGTGTTGGCCAAAGGAGGGGGCATATAATCATGCAGGTGGATGCTACACGCTGAAAAGCACTATATAAATCTAAGGAATTATTATTATTATTATTATTATTATTATTATTATTATTATTATTGTTGTTGTTGCTGCTTTTATATTCGGCCTACCAAAATTGATGAGCTCGTCTCGATAGATGTTTTTTTTTCCCCCTTTGAGCTCTGACTTTCTGCTTCTGAGGTAAGTTGAATGCAGCATTATTCATCATTAATTATGTGTGAAGGCCTTTTTAATTCACGACTATATCATGAGTCATAAGCGGCCCTCAGGCTATGGAGACAATTGTGATGACTACTTAGGACTTGTGAGCTGTTTTTGGTTCCGGAGGGAGATCCTCTCAGAACTGTGGTCTGAAATAAAGCCAACATTATTTGACTGTAGTGAATCATTTAAATTGTAAGTCATAGATAACTGAAAACAGCATCTGTAAAATAAACAAATGTAATGTATCAATTACATAACAAAAATCCCAGGAGATCTGCAGTTTCGGAAATAATCAAACCAGTCGTCAAACATGCCACAGATAAAGTGACATAGATCACACAGTTTTTTCCCATTCTGGTGTTATATGTGAACATTAAATGAAGCGCTTTGCTTGTGTCTGCATCATGTTTTGCCTTGTGCTGCTGCCACATGATTGGCTGATTAGATACCTGTATGAATGTGCAGGTGAACATTATAAAGTGGACAGTGAGCATATTTTCCTCCTTAAAACAATCATCTGCATAGTTAATGTTATAGATTTATCAAGTGTATATATCTGTATGTTCATTTATCTAAAGCAAATACTTGTGTATTTAAACTTATTTAATATTAAGAAGTGCTACTTTGTTTACTGCTGGTGCTGTGTGCAGCCAAGTTTATTTTATATCAGGAAGAGTTTCTGAGTTCCCGACTAGGAATTGCGAGTTGAGAGGGCGTTTTCTGTGTTGTTTCTGTTGTTGTCATTCAGATGTAAGATGTTACTACGATGATTGTAGATGACTTTTTATCTTTCCAATTATCAAATATCGTTCCAATGAATAGAATATTTGAAATGGGTCGGTAATTTTCTAGTATGGACGCATCCAGGTTATGAGGTAACAGAGCTTGTCTAGATTCCCTGTTTGACTGAGTTAGTGACAACGAGCCTAATGTTTTTGGCTTTATCACTGTAGAAAAATACAAATGCAATACATTTTTAAACAGAGAGATGAAAATGGGCTAGCTGTGTTGGTGGATTTCTAAGTTTATCATAGATGGGAAATAAAGTGTGGGCATTATTAATGTTTTTGATAATGTTGTCTGTGAAGACAGACACTAGATTTTTCTGAGACATGCCAGCTAGCCACATGCTGCGTCACAGGGCAGAGACACACATACACACACCTAAGAAAAAACTCCACATTCTATTTTGCTCATGTAATGATTTGCAATGGATTTTAAAAAAGCTATTACATGTATGACTAATTATATTTGGTATATTAGAAACCAAACACTTTGGGACATTCTGGAAAGGAAAATAATCAACTGCAGGGTGGTAAAAGTAACAATGCGTCACATCAGGCTGCATCACAGCTTCTCATCATTGATTATTTTCCTACAACAGCACTCCTCCAAGTGTTTTATTCACATATGTATATATATATATATATATATATATATATATATATATATATATATATATATATATATATTGGGTTTAATCTAATGTTGATAATCTAATGAGAACAATACTGTTCATATTGCAATGCATAGAAAATTACATTAAAAGCTAAATGTATAGTTATATGAGGTAAAAAATTATTTTATTTTAATTGACACTACAATAGAATTTACTCTAAACATGTGTTACAACTCCACAACATGTTCTCGTACTTTTTCTTTCCACATTCTGGTTGGCATTTTATAAATTAAAGTGAAAAGACAGTGAAGGACACACATCGATGTCGTGTCTGAACAGTGACAATCCCTTAATTACCTACTCGGCATAAATAAAGGAGTAAAAACATGTGAAATAAATAACAGTTAAGGGAAAAAGAGCAGACACTAAGTTATGAAAATAACTCATTTAAAAACTGTATTTTGTGTTTACTCAGGTTGCCTTTGTTTTATCTTAGATTTTGTTTTAACTTCTGAAACAATTCAGTTTGAGATGTACACAAAAACAGAAATCAGGATGGGAAAAATACTTTTTCCACAGCACTGTACTTTAAAGGTAGGGTAAATCAATAAAGGCAGAAATACAGGACAGAAATGTTAAATATATAATAACCCTAATTACAACTTAAATCTGCTGAAGAGGAGCACTGGAGAAATGTAAATATTTAATACCAAAGTGTTAATATACGAATAAAGCTCTGTAGTGTGAAATAAACCATTGTTATATGGAATATCTACTGAAAGCCTTAACTGTTCCATTGCAGTACATCGTTTCGGCTGAATGACCCTCAATCTGATGGCTGGCCTAAACATTTTGACGCCACTTCTTTCAACTCTCTCTCTCAACCCTGTGAATCCATCACCCTCCCCCCTAACACACACACACACACCCACACACAAAATCAGATAGTCACATTCCTGGGCCTTCTAGAACAAGTGATCACGCGCAGTGTGAAAAAAGAGTCTTCAGTGACACACAAACACACGTGCCTACTTACATCTACGCCTACACAGTCTGAAGCACCATGTCCATACTTGTCGGCTCCTTACCCTTTACCCTAACTCTGGGAAAAACACACAAACACACACCTCACACACCAGAGACAGAAATGAACGGGTGCACAAAAGGCTAAATGAGAACTAAAACAGGAGAGTGATGTTACCTCAAAAATAATAAATAAAAAAAACTTTCAATGTTCTACTACAGGTAGCATCTTACCTATAAAAGTGTGTGTGTGTGTGTGTGTGTGTGTGTGTGGCATGTGGACCCACTGAAATCAGCAAAAAGAATTTGATAACTTACTTTGATAACCAGAATAACCGTAATGATATAGACAGAAAAACAGAAAAAAACCCAATAAACTCATACCTTCAGGTTTTACTCTCACCGTACAGTAAGAGGGAAAAAGTCAAAAGTAAAAACTTCTCACAATATGTCAAATATGAAAGATTTAACCACCAGGTTTTAATGAATAGATAATTTCATAGTTTCCAGCTTTTAACACATTTTGTTTGTTTCTTTGGAGTTGTGTGTGTTTGTGTGTGGTACTTCATAGTTCCCTCTGACACACACACACACACACACACACACACACACACACACACACAGTGTAAAGCTATTGCCCTCAAGCTGTTTGCGGCTGGGTTATAGCTCCAGGCAACATGCCACAAAGTCTTAACAATGACCAACCACATTAAACCATTGTCTCACACACACATGCACGCAATGAAAAAAAATTTTTTTGAGGTATTTCCATTGACTTGTGTTTCTGTAGCTAAACAATGCTAAGCATCCCTAATCCTTGACCTTAACATTTACATTTGTTCATTTAGCAGAGGCTTTTATCCAAAGCGACTTACAAATGAGGAAATACAAGCAAAGAGATATATCAAGCGGAGAACACTAAAAGTATTGCTACTATACAAGATTTATAATTGAGTTCTAGAGAAAGAATTGAAACTAGCAGAGGATGGTTTCCGTCCATCGAGCTCTGGGTTTGGGGCCCAGCACACTTCCGCTGCGCCACTCTGCTAACCGCACATGCCAGATGGGACCCAAACCCACAATCCCTGTCTTTGAAGGCCAATGCCTTATCAATTAGCCCACTGGGACCCCCCGAAGAGGTTTTTGAATGCTCAAATGTCATAAAAAAGCACAAAAATGTGGAGGTGGAGCTGTTTGGAAAGTCACCAAAACCAAACCACCTGAACGTGCCACCTACCTCTACAGTGATCAAAAACAGTGTTGACTCTGTCACAAAGTAGTTTAATGATGCTCAATCAGTAAAATACTTTAACAACTTACAAATTAAATGAAAACCAGTGTCTCTGAGAGACATTATGTTTATATGACTGCAGGTTGACACCTCCAGGGTCGGGGGTTCGATTCCCGTCGGGGCCGTGGGGCTTTGCTACAATGGAGGAGTGGAAGAGGACTCCAGTGGCAACCTGTGAAGCTCTGGTGAACTCCATGCCCAAGAGGGTTAAGGCAGTGCTGGAAAATAATGGTGGCCATACAAAATATTTACACTTTGGGCCCAATTTGGACATTTTCACTTAGGGGTGTACTCACTTTTGTTGCCAGCGGTTTAGATATTAATGGCTGTGCATTGAGTTATTTTGAGGGGACAACAAATTTACACTGTTATTGTAAAAGTTAATGTAATTTTACACTGTTAATTTAAACTAGTGAGCTGTACACTCACTACTTTACATTGTAGCAAAGTGTCATTTCTTCAGTGTTGTCACATGAAAAGATATAATCAAATATTTACAAAAATGTGAGGGGTGTAATCACGTTTGTGAGATACTGTAAGTGCAGACCATTTACCATTTACTGAGTGGCATGTGACCATGTGCGTATTCGGGCTATGCCAAACAGGGGACTGTGAAATACCTAGGCTGGATATCCGCTATGTGTTCATGCTACTACAGTGTGAACTGCCAGACAGGAATTCATGTTTACACTTTAGTACGCACTCACATATAACTGCTTCATATAACTCAGCCAGTGTGTCGAGCCACTAGCTTAAAAAAACAGCAGTGGCAAAAGCTATGTCTTCTCAAAAATAATTTTGGAGATGAAGGCTTGTGCTGCTTGTCATAACTGTCCTGGATTTGAAAAGATTCTGCATTCTTGGCAGAGATCTATTCACATTAATAACATAACAGGTCATTGGTCACTGACAAAAACAAATGTGCACAATCATGATGGAAATAAAAGGAATGGAATGAAAATCAGAAATGAGCAATATGGCTTGTAATGTAAACATAGGCCAAAAGTAAAATGCCAAATAATCTGGATCAACGGTCTCAGCAGTCAGATGAATTGGTTTCAGCTAAAAAAATTTTTCAGGTTTATCAGACTGTCCTGTGCTAATGTAAGGACTCAATATAACAATATAGCTGCATTCGAATTGCAGTATAAATGGGAAGTTGGAGCTTGGAATGATGTCAATTCAATCTCCAGTCATCCAAGCTACACGATGCCTACACAATCATCTTTTGTGAGCAACAAAGCTGGCCAGCTAACTGTGATAAGTGATTGATATTTTCCTCCTCATAACAGCAATCTGTATCGTCAGTGTTATAGATTTAACCATTTAATACAACATATTTGGCCAAATGTTTGTTCATACCTGACCATCACACCCATACACACGCCTTCACCAAAAAGAACTGTAGTTTTTGATGACACTTGCTGAAAGGAACTCAAAGTTGAGGAAACCATCCCAAGTTCCCGAGTAGAATAAATAGAGCATGTTCTTTGTTTTTTCCAGGTTGAAGGTTGGGAATTATGACTTATGACGTCCAGTCGAATGCAGCATTAGCTCAGACTGAAACATACTTTCAACAGTACTGTTTGTCTACTGTGTTCTCGTCTACACCTGGATACTGTAATGATTTATGATTCCACTCTGCGGTGTTACCCAGAATACGACGTGTTCTCTTTTGAGCCTGGTTCCGCTGTCGTTTTTTCCCCCTCATGTTGTCTCAAGAAAGTTTTTCTCACCGCTGTCATCTCTGCGTGGCTCATTAGGGATCTAAAGCTATATCTGCATTACTGTAAAGCTGCTCTGTGACCATATATATGGTTAAAAGTGCTATACAAATAAAACTGTTTCAAATGTATCCATAATGACATCCTGACATCAAAAAATGCAGAGAACTGCAGTGTGGCTTCACTGTGAGCCTACAAGCAGTTTATAATCTTATACATGCACGGGTCTAACATATTTTTTTATTATTATTATTATTTTTTTTTTTATGACTCATTTGTAGGCAGTGACATTAAACTCCTACATGTATTTGTAGCTAACCCGTTCATTTATTTATTTATTTATAATGCCGCATTTATTAAAAAAATATCTTAATTCTTGCAGCATCTCTTTTCCGGTCTGGACTAACATGAAACACTTCTCCATCTTCACACAATGTTGCTGGATAACATACACAAAACATATTCTTTAACATTGGGTATTCTTATGAATAGTATTATTAAAATGACAAATGAGTCAAACGTGCATACGAGCAATTATAATGTATTATACAGTACAGTTATAATTATAACTTTGTCGGTTTTTCAAAAGGGCATCTTGAAACATAAAGAAATGAAGACAACCAGAACCCTCTGGACTGTAAGTGATTATGAAGCCATGGGTGATGGTGGGAAAGGGTAAAGAGAAACCATAGAAGAGCGAATAAAACAGCCTCAGAGTCAGGCTTAGTAAAGGTCACTACCCAGGCAGCCTCGCCACTCACGAATAAGTGGAGTCCAATTTTCCACTCGCTTCTGCAGCAAAAACTCAAGAGTCATCAGGCACAGAGCAGCAGGAGCTCTCACTGAAGACAATTCAACAGGTTCAGAATCAGTCCAACAATGTAGAGAGTAGAGAGCAGAGGGGCTTTAATTCACACTAGCAATAAAATACTTTTTGATATTGTATCAAATACGACATAAGACACAGCTGTAAAAAATAAATATTGTACCATTAGGGCATGACGGGCTTTATATTGCCCCCTAGTGGTGTGAGAGAGAGAGAGAGAGAGAGAGAGAGAGAGAGAGAGAGAGAGAGAGAGAGAGAGAGAGAGAGAGAGAGAGAGAGAAAGAGAGAGAGAGAGAGAGAGTCAAAGAGAGAGAGAGTATTTTCTCACTCATTAGTCTTTCCATGTGACTGAGTAAATACACTTCTTTCTACATACAACTCATAACAAGCCCACTGCTTCTTATGTGAAGAATTGCAAAGCACTTTTTTTCTTTTCTCACTCCTTTGAATCTCATCTCTTTATTTATATTTAGAACATGAACTTTCTCAAGCTAAATTAAGCTTCTGCCGAGACAATCAGCTGCCCTGCGATGAGGCATGAAATGTGATCAGTCTGAGGTGTAGATGCTGCGTGTCTGTCACTCTGTGTATCTCTGGGTTTATTAACAGCTACTTCATATCTGTCACGCTGCTCTAAGTGTAAGAAATCCAGCCAATAGCCACCAGTCAAAAGGGCAAATGTAAACTCCATCATCACATAAATCCTACCTCACTACATCAGAGTGAGTGTGAGTGAGCATTATTGTGTGTATGTGTGTGTCAGCGTCAGCATCTGTGCCAGGCACACGGGTTTGACAAACGTACTGTAGTCTCTAAGAGCAGCCTGACTTGGCAGCCTACAGGATATGCCTGAAATGTAATGAAGTTCTACTCCAGTACTAATGAACAGACATCTGATGGGGTATTTTATCTCATCTTATCTGTCAGAAATGACTTATTAAAAAAAAGACTTACCAATTCAACCAAGAAAGAAAAAAAGAAAGAGCTACACTTTTAATAATTTACGGTCTCCTCTTGGCAACGTTGGGTCCAAATTCCGTTGCACCATCTTTTACAGGGCTCTAATGATTAAGCAGGGCAGTGTGTTGACGACACACTAAGCAGAGCTATTACACTCACTAATTTACCCAGCGGATCAGCGGATTATAAAACCAGTTAACCCCTGCCAAACACGCTTATACATTCAGGCTGCTCTGAAACAAGGGAAGATGGAGATATTTCCCAGTACAAAACTTCTTCAATTCAGAACAAAGAAATCAGTGTGTGGGGGAGGACTGACCTGTTTGTTTTAGTCACGCATATGTAGACCAGATTGATGACGAGGCTAAATAAATGTTTTAATTCCAAGGTATTAAGTGTGTACACACATGTATACGAGCACATCTGCACATGCGCGCACACACACACACACACACACACACACACACACACACACACAAAGGCATTGGAGATTTATCAGAAAAGCACCTCTTTTCTGTGCATGTCAATTGCTGTAAACCTTTCTTTCCCAAACAGCCTGTCACTAACCTCTCCCAGGTCTGTGATGCACGACCCCTTACATACAGTTCAACAAGTCTTTAATACAAGTGCAATGAAAATGTTTATGCATTTGGAAACTGTCAGCATGACGTCATGTATTCATCTACTCCTCGGACAGGTAAGAGACATGAGAGGGGTGGGAGCGAGACATGCGGAGAGAAAGAGACGTGTAAGGATGGGAGAAAATGGAGAATGGAGAAAGAAAGAGAGAAAAATAGAGAGACTATGACGGAAAGAAAGAGAGAAAAATAATAGACACGCCGGAATTGAAAATACAGAAAAAGAGGGGGGAAGGGTAAGACAGAGACGATGCTGAGTGAAAGGTTTGAGGAGCAACCGTTGTGTGATGACATTCAAAAAGAAGATTTATTTTCTGTGAAATCATACAGTTCAGCTGCAGCATGGGGTATAGTGCTGTGTCTGGTTCTCATTTAACATGCATGAAATTATTACTCTGTTCCTGGTGTAATGTATTACAGGTGTGTGTGTGTGTGTGTGTGTGTGTGTGTGTGTGTGTGTGTGTGTGTGTTGTGAGAGAGAGAGAGAGAGAGAGAGAAATACCTGACATGTTAAATACCTGTCACTGGTATCGATCGAAGTGCAGACATGATGTTTTCATACCACACACCAGAGTTGGGTGTAACGCGTCACTGTAATCTAATGACTTT